ATAACCCCCTCTTTACGATAAAAACTAACAGCTCTGGGAATTGCTAGGGCGCTATCAATGAAAACAGCGGGAAGCGCATTCAGTCCATAAAATTACCTTTCACGAAACTCTAATCCTGATATGGAATGGATGCTTAATCCAGAGACTTTTGATGAGATTACAAGACTATACGGGAAATGTGACATAGATTAATTTGCATCCCAATACAATAGACAAATTTATACATATGTTTCATATGCCCCTGAAAAACACGCAATAGCGATAGACGATTTTACATTTTCATGGAATGAATTAAAAATGTTATATTTTCTATCCTTTCTGTATTTTTTGCAGAGTACTTCAGAAATTAATGATTGATAATGTGGAAGCAGTCATTGGAGCCCCGATATGGCCGTCGCAACCCTGGTTTATGGAATGCCATCACTGCCTTATAGCATAAAACTATGCATTCATTATGTCAATCTATCAATACTTGATGTGAACATATCTTTACGTTATGTCATTTTTTTATGAGGTGATGTAAAAATATCTTTACATCATGTCATTGTTGCATTACATGAATTAAACACATTTTTCCATTATGTCGGCACTTTATAACTTGAAGAACAAAATTCACTATGTGAAGTGAAAATATGTATACATTGTGTTAAAACTTTATTACGTGAAATGAATGTTTCTTTATATCATTTCATTTCTTTAATATGTGAGGTCAAAATTGCATTACGTCAAGTTAATTTCGTTTTACATGTGTTCTATGATTAAATTTATCATTACATTAAGTCAAAGTCCATTCCCTTTTGTGAGTGTATATTTCTATTATGACAAAGCATTATTACGTGATGTTAATGTATCTTTATTTTACGCCGAGGTCATCACAATGTGAGGTGAATACATCTTACCTTTATGTCAGTGCTTTATAACGTGATGTAAAAAGGTTTATAACATAATGTGAACATATATTATGGAGACATTCCAAGCGTTCCATATTATATCAACACTTTATTACATTATGTCAAAACTCCATTCCTTTATGTGGATATTTAGTAAGAATATGTTAACTCTTTCTTATGTGATTTAAAACTATCTTTACATTGTGCTAATTCTTTATCATGTTGATTAAAAATGTTCATTACGTGCTGTAAAATACATTCACATTATGTCAAAGTTGATAACCGTATTTTCACGACTGGGAAAGGGGGGGGGGTCCTGATTACTTAGGACGAATTACAGACATATTATATGGGGGTTGGGTCTGACTTTCTCTTTTTTCCGACATAACTTTATCATAGAAAATATTCATTGAAATTCAGCCCCACTTTTTGCTGAAGTATAAGGGTAATGTAGTATATTTGGAATTTTTTTTTAGGACTGATCGAATTGGACCCCCCCCCCTTTCACCCGAAATATGATTTTCGAGTTTGGTCCTTTGGATTTTGTTCTTAACGTTATTACGTTCTTAACGTACGTTATTTTTTCTGGCTGACAAACCTCCCCCAACTTTCAAAAACGATGCAACGTCACTGGAATTAGTAATTTTTCAACCATTCCAGGACCAGAATTTCTGTTACAAAAATCTACCAGTCCCTCATTTAAATTAATTGACCATGCCATAGTAAACATTAGCTCATATCAGTGGCGATCTTGGGTTCTTGAAAAGAGTAGCTTCAGGGGGACGATATGGTGTCTAAGTTGGGGACCAGGGGGTAAAAGCCCGGAAGCTCGCCGGCTTTAGAATTTTTTTTATAAAACGTTTCAACTTATTTCAGCTTTACTTTATGTAAAACTAATACAATGTCCTACAAAGTTAAACCAATTGATTACTTCCATGCATATTTTGGTCACTACAGATGGGAAGGCGGGATCCCCCACTCCCCACCGATCCACCAATGCACTTATGATATATGTTTTTTTTTTTAAATGTGTTTACACTTTTTTAAAAAAAAAGGAGGGTTAAAGACTGATAAAAAGCTTAGGGCGGTGTTTTGTAGTTAGATCAGAAGTTTCGGACTTTTCAAAATAATTTAAAATAAAAAGGAAAATATTGCTGCATGACACATACTATTTGATATTTTGATAATTATGAGATTTAACGGCCATTGAATTTCGACGTTAAAATAAAGCAATCGTCAATAAAGATTCCATTGGAACATGATCCTATTTATAAATTTAGCTTGATATTTAATTAAGGATTAATTAAGTCTTGTGTATAATTGAATATTTGATATGTTAAATTTAAAATTATTTGCATGTGTACATGTAACATATGTGCATGTAATATTGAAAACGCAAAAGGAACTTTTAGGCATAACCTAAACCTTACGTCACACAATAAAGAGTTGAAATATTCTAAGATATACTGACAAGAGGCTTAACATTTTAGACACAATGTGAAGATACAATGACATAACATTATAATGATTTGTCAGAAAGTAAGGGAAAATTGACATCATGTAATAGATTCCCGTCGTCATGTACCATATTGATGACACAATATAGTAAAGAATTGGCCACATGTGACAATTTTTTTCACATCATGTAATGAAATTCTGACATCGTGTTACAGCGACTTGATATTGAATTAAAGATAAATTTACATCATGTACTGAACTACTTAGACCAAATAGTAGAGAGTGCACATAATGTAATAATGAGTTGAAATTATATAAAAAAAACATCTTTACACCACGAAAAATTGTTTTGACTTTATGTCATAAAGAGCTGATATAATGCAATGGAAGATTGGCGCAATGTAATTGAAGTGCGAGTTAATGCCGTAAAAAGTTGACATAATGTAATGGAAAGTTGACATAACGCAATAGTTGTGTGTATAAATGTCATAAAGACTTAACATAATGTAATGGAAAGTTGACATAACGCAAAAGTAGTGTGTGTAAATGTCATAAAGACTTAACATTATGTAATAGAAAATTGACATAACGCAATAATACTGTAAGTAAATGTCATAAAGTTTGACATAATGTAATGGAAAGTTGACACAATGCGATTGTAGTGTTCTGCTATAAGGCAGTGACGGCGTTCCATACTGGTTTACCAAGTTACTACAGCTGATAGAAGCGAGCAGCTATTTATTACCGAACAACCAGCAACTGCTGAAGCTACTGAACAATCCAGAAAAAGTACATCCAGTACCCAAAATGAGACTGGGTGTTTTTCGTGTGTCCGGAAACCGCTCCAGAACCGAGGCTAATTATCGGAGGACCCTATCGACATACTCCTCTCCTCATGGAGGGAATCCACACAGAAACAATATTTGACATATCACCAAAAATGGATCTTATTTTGTCAGGAAAGAAAAATTGATATTTTTAACGCAAATGTAAATATTGTTTTGGCGTTTTTTGTTGGTAAGCTTATCATCTTATTTGATCCCTCTGCAACCCCAATTGGTTGAAGAAATTCCAGTCAAACTTCACATTCTAGGTAAATCTCGTTTAACTTAAGAATTAATTCGTACGGATGCATACAAGAAGAGATAAAGTCAACTGTCAAGCTGCCGCTAGTGGTGTGCTGTTACATGTATGAACGGTAACTCATTGTCGGAACTTATTTACCTGTGGCTTTAATTTTAAACTGATTAAATATTTAAATTCGGTCTTTTTTTCAGGCTTAGTAACACATATAAGATAATCAATTGTTGCATTTAATTCTAGAAATATATATATTTATATAAAAGCATAAAAACATATTTATATGGAAGCATAAAAATGCACACACAAAAAATATGACATTACATTTTCTTCTTCATAACAAAGAGAATTAAAAAAATCTTGAGTATAGTTTGTCCCAATTTACTTGATCCTGATAACAATAACTGTATATTTTCGTATGGAATTTTGTTATAAAAATTTTAAATTAATTAAAAGAATCTTGATATATATATTTACTGGTGCGTATATAAAAAATAATCAGTCAAATCTTTATATTTATATTGGCATTTTTTTTTCTTGCTTCAGTACATTATTTAACAATTCTGCAAATCCGGGGAAGGGAGGGGGTCGACCCCTCAATCTGAAAATTCTCATCTTTTTTCCTTTCAGCAGGGTTCACAAATTCTCTTAATTTGCTTGTTTATATATATCGAGTCTGAAACCTTTTAAATAATTTGTAACTGCATGGACTGTATCATTATCATTCAAATTTATATACCCAAGTTAAATGCTTATTTGTTGACACCATACAGCTGTTGCTTGTGATTATCTCTTTCTTTATATACAAAACAAAAAACAAACAACCAAACAAAACTTTATTCTAGTCTTCGTTTGAAACAATATGAAGTCTAATGGCAATCTTAAAAGCATGACTAAATACATCGGACACGTTAACTGCCCAAGACTACCTGGTTATGAAATCCAGAGAAGTACATGTAAATATTATTTGTTTTCTGGTCTATATTACTGGAATTGTTCTTTTGTCTTCTGTAAAAGATGGAAGTTTACCCTTTTTTTGGCAATAATTATTAGAGATGATTTTGAGTTTTTATAGAATTTTAACAAATTCAAATTTTATCAACATTTCTCAGGTAGTTTTCATATCTTTATACTCAATATTAAAAGAATTCGCACTTTAAAGATAATAGAAATGAAGTATAGCTTTTTCCTCTTTTTTTAAAATTAGTAGCTATGCGTTTGAGGGCGTACATGGTATATGCTGTAAGGATATTCGTTTTGTGCATTAATGTCAAGGGCCTGAAATGAAAACTGTATGTTATGAAATCTATTTAAATTTAAAAAATAAAGGCCTGTAGTTAAACAAACTAAAAAAGCTACAGGTTTCATATCCTTAGATAGTTTTGAACACACACACGTTTTAGAAGGACAACCACATGAATAGATATGTAAAACAACTTATAATTTTGGCAAGAAAAAAATTTAACAATTGTCCCGAAAAGTAAAGTGTAACCTTACGTTTTAATATAATTTATATGTCATGGATGAAACAATGCAAGATATGTACGTAGGTTTCATTTCAACATATAGAAGAACTGTTTTTTTTTTTATTTCATGATGATAATTACATGCACTGTTTTATAAAATACCGAAGCGTTACACATACATGAAGATAAAAATAACACAAAGTCTTAGACAGGCTGTAGTCGAATCTGCCCCGTTTACCAAGTCATTGAAACTTAGTGTTTCGTATCTGCATATATATAAAAAGAATCAAATTAGAAGTATAAATAAAATCATGTTATGATTCAGGGACAAACAATGAAGATACGCAGGGGGAATAAGGAAGCATACAAATTATTCTATACCTTGACTAAATCAGTGCTACATTATGGCGTCATAGTAGACGAGAAAATTCTAGAACACAAGCTTTCATAATATTGGTATTTAGAGATGTAATTTAACTCCAGAAAATGAATAGAAACGTGTAAAAATAAACAAAAATGAAATGTTCTTATTTTGTTATGCGGTATTCTGTCAAATTGATTAAATCTACCACCGATGACGTCATATGTGTACATCAAGTAACATTGGGATTGATCATGTCGTGTCACGAGAATTTGGCTAAGACGGCATGTACACAGATATGTAAAAGGGGGTTTAAAAGCAAATATCGTGAATATTTTGTGAAATTCATATGTAATTCAGCTAATTAAACAGGTATTCTAATTTATTTTCATCGATTATATTCTCTTTCGTAGACAGTCAACTACATACGTATCCCGGTCGGCCTTTCCTCTGTCATTTGTGACAAAAAATAATGCAACAGAACAACAATAAGCTGTATATTTCAAAATATAAGATTTGTACAGATGGAAAGTTTGCCTCCTAAAATACTTTGAAAGTGCTGCTAGAATCCCGAGTTGAGCATGGTTTTACGAAAATCTCGGTTTATATGTAAAAAATTCAAAACATCGGGTAAGGTTTTGTGCGAATGTGAGGAATAATTATTTTAATGAAGAGACGGTGGGATTCTAGCAGCATTTTTTAAGGCAAAATAGGTGTTTTTCAACCATATTATATACTCAAAGAAATTAATAAACTTGCGATACTGTTGTTCTATTACCTCTTTTATCAAGGAAAATTTCTCTTTTTATAGAAGTCACGTGATGCCGTGGTGGCGGAGCACGTCGTTGTGATAGACACTCTTTTATCTTAATAAATAATCAACAATAGTTTACGTTTATCAGCGATTTCGATAAATTATCAAACTTAATTTTCTTTAAAAAGTCTAAATTTCCCGAAAAATGACATATATGCTTCCTTAACGTATACCCGAATATGTGTTTTATTGCAGGTTGGTTGATAATGTATAAATATATTTAAAGTTTGAGTTTTAGAAAGTTTTAGATAAGTAAATTATTTATTAAATTTGAAATGATAATACAATTGAAATCATTTTAGATGTTAAAAAAGGTGACTTTTTGTTGTTAAAGGCAATTAAAACACACAAATGAAACCATGATAACATTTACCTGCTAACATTCTTGGTACGACGACGGTATACAGCTTCATAACATTCAGTATCTAAAATACACAAGTTCATGTATATTACAAAACAAGATCTATAACTGGTTTTAAAAGAACTACACATTAAAGATTACAGTGTTCGTGTTCTTAATTCGACGATATGTGTGTATCATTTCATTTATCCATATCGAGTTAAATAGAAAAGGGCAATAGATTTAAATTAATACTAGGATACACTCTTAATATACATTACATTTATATGCATCGGTTGACCAGTAGTTGTTTTTACAAGCAGAACACTTGTTTGGGTATGAATCCTGTATCCTTCCTCCTACTGCATTATACTCAGCGCATACTCCTTCAAAACATTAAAGACAATCATCGGCGTCTTTTCTTTTTTTTGATAATAATACACAATGCGTTTTCAGGAATTAATAATGCAAAGCCAGAGAGGAAAAAATAATAGAACATGTACATACCAAAGCCTATCCTTGTACGCGGTGCACAAACTTTAATGGTTTTGTTTTGCCAAGGATTTATTAGACAGTGGTAGAAAAGTGCACTGGAACATTTATGTGAAAAGGATGAACAGTTTTTCTTCACTGCTTCTGTATCCCACATCGATTTGCTATAAGGGCATGTCTGCACTTCTTCCATTGTAGCGCGTGATTCACTGCAAAACTCCTCATCGTAACAAGAACAAAAAATCTAAAACAATATAAAGGGTTAGACATAGATTTCTCTCAAACTATTCGAAAGAAGAAATGATATTTGTAAACTATCTCTAACATTTAATTCTTTTAGTGCTTGTCAAACATATAATTATGCAGAGTTTCACCGAAAAACTTGCATTAGAAAGAAAAATAAAAACAATGCTCTCCCAAATTATAGAATATTTCTTTTTTTAATTCCTACCATCAAAGAAAACGCCAGGAATACTGTTATGAAGCACTTGGAAGTTCTCAGGCTTGGTGAAGATTGATTTCGTTTCCTACAGGCCATTTTACGTCAATACCTTAAATATGAAAAAATATCTTCAATTATTCTTGATAAAGATTACATGTACGAGGGCTGCCCGTAAAGTTCGTGGACAAGCTCAAATTTAAAGAAAGATGGTGTCATTGATATTTATTATTAACATACGAGGGTTGTCCGTAAAGTTCGTGGACAAGCTAAAAATTAAATAAAAATTGAGTCATTGATATTTTCTATTATCATATTTCTAATACTTTACTTAATGTGAATTGAAAAATGTAAAATTTTATTCAAATTCAAATGTTTAATTACAATTGTGGCTTCTTAATTAGACTAAGAATGGAGACCTAGAGCACCGCAAAATTTTAATTAAAAATTACTTATTATTTTTATAGATTACATTTAATTTAGTATCTTATAAAATTCTGCGGAAATCTTCCTGACTTTAACATTATGAGGTTGACAGAAGTTAGCACATCAAACTTGCAAAATCTGAACTTTCAAAGTTTCAAAATGGCCGAGCAATCAAAGTTAGAACATTAAGACAGGATTGGAATTCGTCAAAAAGGGACGTTTTCGGCATAGGTGGAGCAGTGGGCAGTGATAAAATTATGAGTATACATCAGAAAAAAAAACACCTACAGAGACCAATACATTCTGTAAACATTCGGGAAAACACAGTTAAAGAAGCTGTTCATTAGTATTTAAGAGCTATATAATATTTTCGGACAGAAGGAACAGTTTACAGGATGACATTCGTGGAGGAAAACCATCATTCCTAGATTGCAGTGCTGTACACAATGAATTTCTTAAAGTTACGTGCCGTATTTCCTAAAATAAAATCGTTTTTACGCGAACAGAGGTTCGATGATTGCAGGATATGAGTCAGATTAAATATGTTTTCACGTATGAAAACTGAACATTTTGTGCACATTTTTATGACTGGTTAAAAGGGCATGAGAAATATACTGAGTTAATTAAACGGTGACTTTGTTGAGAAAAAGTACTTGTTTTAAGTTTTTAACGTCGGATAAGGTCAAGAATTTTCCTTTTGGTGCACCGGGTATGTCAGATTCCTGGTTTCATGACAATGATCAATCGGTTGGCAATCATGATAATTTTATTCATCGTTTATGCAAATAATCAATCAAGCTACTCGATTGATCACATGAAACCAAAATACTAGACAGAGCCTTATTCTTTAAGTACGTAGTGTAATGCTTTAGCCAGAATTATTATATAGATTACAACACATGATCGATCGAAGAGGAAAACATCGCAGGAAAAACAGCTTTTTACATGCAAAAAGAACTACAAAAAAGATATGATCATGTATAAGATGGATTCTTCTCCGTTTTCCCCATTATGACAAGGAGCATCGGGCGAGTCCGACCGGTTGGCAATAGATGGTACTTGATCCCATATCGGATGCTTTGGAGGTTTACTCTAATCCAATTTTGTTTGTATTGTTTAAGCTAAATGGACTTTTGAGTGTGAATACCATTCGTTTTTTCGTTACATCTACTAATCACGAATACTTCTAAGTGGACAATTATTCTCAGTAGTTATTTTGTACTTTTGTACATGGAAAAATGGTTTATATTCTCTTCCTTTTTTACACATGGGGAATATACCACTAATAACATAATTACGAAGCTTTAATGAACATATTTTTCAAATTGAGGGACTTAATTTAGGTAGCATGATATCTATTTAAAAAAAGGATATGGAGATAACGGACAGTATTAAATATCAGAGTCCATAAAACAATACAAAAATAGGAGCAGAGCAAACACGAACCTCTAAAACATCGAACAAATACTTGTAGTTTAACATTAAACAAATACATGTAGTTTAAATAACTATCGCCTATTCTTATTTTCCACTGAAGATTATTCCATTAATCTAAAATTTGGGTTTTGTATGTAAGTTATTAATATGAGACATTGATCAACCGAAAAAAATTTGCTCTAACTTATATGTCTGTTTTACATCAATATTTATTTTGTTAATACGAGGGGTGATCAAAAAGTTCGCGAACTAATTGAAAAACCTCCAAAAAAAGAAATGATATAGGGTTTCAGTGTTGAAATTTTTTCAAAGCAGTCCTCTCCAATTTTAATGCGTATCTGCAATCGTTCTGCCCATGCGCGGATCACATGATATTTGCGGTCATGTGACAAGCTTCTGTCACAGAAGCTTTAATTTTTTTCAGACTTTCATATCTCTTACCATGCAATCGGCAATCCTCGGCTGACTCCGCTACGCTCCATTCAAACCTCGGATGTGATAGGTGGAGGAATACGCATCAGATCGCTACATTTCTCCGCCGGAAACTTCCTTGTCACTCATTTCATATTTCGCTCTGCCTAAAGTTCTTAGAAAAGGTTTCTTGATTTGTGTAAATCCTCGTGCCAATTACAACCAAATGTAAGTATTCTTTGAAAGCAAGAACACAGTCTTGGGCGTGCATCAAAGTAACTCGGATTTCTAAAGTATAATATTTGAATGAAGTTCAAATAAGATCACATGACTGAATCAGCAAGATGGAAGATCACCGTTGACGTCCGAGGTTATGTGCGAGGCATGAGTCATCCGAGGAACTCCGATTGCTCACCATGCAGGTTATTTTTTGAAACAAAAACAGTCCATTTGTCAGCAATTGTCTTAATCTCAACGAACGTATGGGTGAATAATGATATCTTTTTGCAGAATGAGCATGGTGACCACCAAAACCCAAGTCCCCTGTCTTTTGAGCGTCGTTTTATTTGATGTGGATAAAGTATAGGTGCCTTCACTTCATCATATCTGATATGTTTAAAGTCTAAAGTAAACGATATGTTAGGGGTTTGATAATTATATTTTTGTTCAGATATTCATCTATTCTTTTTATTGTAAGTTGGCTATCTTTTTTTATCAAATCGCTTAAAGAAAGACACGTCTCTCTCCCAGTTTGCATTTACTGGGCAACAGAACAAACATCATATTTAAACATCTCCCTTCCTTTATTTAAGCAATCAATCCAATCAATGACAATACTTTTGGAAAGTAGTTTTTCTTCATAAACCGTATACAAATTATTATAAGCTTCTACAAAGGAATTTCCAAAATATACGTTTAACTTTACAGCCGTTCGCTTCTCGAGTACGACTGAGTCAACCATTTTTAGTCACAAGTGATCTACCTTATGATGTCATTTTCACATTGTGACGTCACAAAGACGGGAAAAAATATTCCATTACATATGCTATTTATAGAACATGTGTATGACTTCATGTGTGCCAAATTTCATTCTGATCTGAATTATGGTTCTGTAAATATAAAAGTTCTGCCTGTGATTATGAAACACTAGATTATATTAAACGTTGTGGATTCTCGCAAACAAATACATGCTATTTTGAGTGCACAGGATATATTTTAATATATTTTTATCTTTGTTAAAATTTAGAAGTGTTTCCGTTTTCAGCTCAGTGATATCATTTGGTACTCATAATTGCCTTGCACTAAATAGTGTGTGTAAAAAAACAACACTTTTAAAGAAGAATCGAATTCGAAATTTAAGTATTCTTCTCTGGTGTTTGTAACAACCGCTGAAGAAATATTAGACAATGAGCACCCGTTTATGATCAGTAAGAAGCTTGCTGAAATATACGAATTTTGTTAAAATTTTTATTTTCATTAAGCTGTTTTCTTTTCATTAACATTGTTTTGTGCATGATGACTTTAGAACAGAGTATTCCTGTCACAACTAGCGTCGGCACGATAAAGATCCACCCCTGCTCAATGATGAGTTTGTCGGGTCAAGTTCTAATAGTACTAAACAGACCGTTCATGGACAGGAAGTTATATCACAGATGGAAATTACATGTCGTAATAAAATCTAGCAAGTGGCATTAAACTACAAGTGAGAGATGACAATAACATTAATAACATTAAGTGAATCATCAATCGATAAGTTACATTTTTATAACTAAATAAGAAATAATATTTATAGATTCAAACCTTTGGTTATGAATTGTACGAAATGGTTTACCATAAAACTAAATACAAGCTGGTTGCTTCTTGGTTTATTTAAACAGATTTTCTCTTAATTAAATTGTTAACAAAAACCCATACCTGTTTTAAATGTTCAGTTGTGTTTAAATGCAGAATAATGGCAGCAGTATATTGTTGAAAACGAAAGTGCTTTTCTGAAACATTGATTTTGCTAAACAATTTATTCATTGTTTCTACGGGTCAATGCCGTAGTAAAATCAATGGGTAACGTTTTAAAAACAAAGGCCTGATCACCAGAGCGAGCGCTAGCGAATATTTTTGTTGAAAGTATAAGGAATTTTGGCGAGCGTTCGTGAAAGTTCACTTAGATGAACAGGCCTCAGATCTTGTACAACGTATACATGAAATGCTAAACGGTTTTGAAATTAAAAAAAAATTGTTTCCACCACACTCAGAGCATTTCAAATAAAAGCTTTAATATTTACAATTTATAAACCGTTATTGAATAGAAAATGTACTTGGATTTCACACATGTACTTCAAGTTAATAATTAAAAAAAAACGAGCTATTGGTGAAAAAAAAAGATTTAATTAATTTTCACTGAGCCTTCATAACAGGAAACAGGAATTTGCCCCAAAATATAATTTTATGCTCACAAATACAAGCTTATACAGTGAAAATCAATCATGTACATGTATGTTTTTGGAATATTATTTTCTTTATGTCTGCCTTGTACACTGGAGGAAAGAGGGAGATGTAGTGGGTATGTTCAAATTAGTTATAATATATTTTAGTATAAAAGAATTTTGTTCATAGGGAAATGAAAATAAAATCTTAATCGACCTCTTTATGAAATACAGGCTTTTCAAGATGATCAGAATAATTTATATTTTATGAAAACTATATCTGCTCCTTTTGGTATCATATGCCGACAAATGTAAAGAAATATATCGATTAAAATATAAACACATTTTCTCGGAACCTGATCCATAGCAGTATGTTCGATACCTAGCCGGTTTCAATTCATTGAGGAGATATGTGTATAT